TTATATAAAACTAGTCTACATATTTCTGAGATTAAGTATTTAAATTATTTACATGATTTACATTGTTCAGACTGTTGTCCTCGTCTTTATTGTTTTATTCACGACGTTCCGGGCGTTGTACGGTCCGGATTTCTTCAGGATCTGTCTATATTTTTGAGATGAGGTATTGTAATTATTTACTTCATTTACATTATTCAGACACTTTTCCTCATCTGTATTGCCATGTTCACAACGTTTCGGCCGTTGTAATCTCCGGTCTTCTTCAGGATCTGTCTATATTTCTGAGATGAGATAATGTAACTATTTACATTATTTGCATTGTTTGGACTGTTGTCCTCATCTTTATTTCCATATTCACGTTGTTTTGGCCGTTGTAATCTCCGGTCTTCTTCAGGATCTGTCTATATTTCTGAGATGAGGTATTCTAATTATATACATTATTTACACTGTACGTACTGTTGTCCTCATCTTCGTTGTGTTGTTTCCGACTTTATACGTTCTACGCACCGGTTTTTTTATCAAGGGATTTGAATTTCGAACTGAACCTTTTATTTCGTCAACTGAGATATTTCTAGTTCTAGAACAATCTACCCTGTTGGACTAAATAAAAGGTTCAGTTCGAAATTCCAATCACCTGAAATTGGCCGCAGAGTACAACCGGTGAATATGGCAACGAATATGACGACAACAGTCCGAAGAATGTAAATAATGAAAATAATGTTACTACCTCATCTCTGAAATACAGAAAAATCCTGGAGAAGCCCGGTGCGTACAACAACCAAGCCGTCGTGAATATAACAATAAAGATGAGAACAACAGTCCGAACAGTGTAAATAGTGTAAACAATTACAATGACTCATCTCGGAAATATAAACAGATCCTAAAGAAGGCCATAGCGTATAACGACCGAAACGTGAATATGGAAATAAAGATGAGGACAACAGTCCGAACTGTATCTGTCTATATTTCTGAGATGAGGTATTATGTTCACTGAAGAGGATCAGAGCGTACAACGGCCGAAACGTTGTAATAAATATGACGACAAAGATGACGACAATAGTCCGAATAATGTAAATAGCGAACAGTCCGAACAGTTTAAATAGTGTAATTAATTACAATATCTCAGAAATATAGACATATCCTGAACAACGACCGAAACAGCGTGAATATGACAACAAAGTTGAGGAAAACAGTCCGAACAAGACTATGTATATAAAACAAGTGTTAGTCTTTTTTTTTTTATCATCCATTTGCTAGATTTGAAATATTTCCATTTCATTCTGCTTGTCCTCTAAGAATTTGGTAAAAAAAAAAAAATAATAATTACTCAAATTAAATGTGCGTGCAGTTTTGATTTGGATGAAAGTGGAAATAAACGTCGAAATATCAATGCATGATAGCGTTGTTTGTTGTTCATAAAACACAAGAATGTTTTTGTAAATGGCTTCCATATTTCTTCAGTGATATTCAAGATATAGTTATTCGTTCTCTTTTCGTGTGATACAGTGTAGCCGCATGTTTCACTTTAAATAAAATTAACCCTTGCATTACTCTACAATAGCATTTCTGCTTTATTTTGAATTACGCAAAACAAACTGTAATGTAGGCCACTGTTACCAGCTCTGCCCCCCACCTTCCCGCCAAAATGACTGGGAGAACAACAAAATTTCATTCATTTATTCGTTCATTCATTCGTTTATTTGTTTAGTTCGATCATTGGCTGGCTCCTTCGTGTACAGGACGCTGTTTCTTGCAAGTCGAATTTCGGGTTCAATACGAAAAATGCTGAAATTGAATGAAAAATATTTTTATTGATAAAGCCTGCTAAAAAGGTTTATGCGTGAATGCGAGGACGAGGGTAATGGTGGGAGGGTTGACGTAATGATTCATGCTCTATTTATGAGAAAATCCATTGCTGAATCACAAGCAAATAGAAGTGGGAATGGAGAAAGTAAGGGGAAGGGAAGTTTAAAAAGAAAGAGAGCGGCAAGAAAGAAAGGGACTAAAAAGTAAAGAAAAAAGGGGAGAAAACAAAAGAGAAGGAGAAAATTGAAATGATATGAAGAAAGGAACATAAAATAAATTAGAAAGAATAAAAGATTGAAAAGTGGAAGAATTTAAAAAGAAAAACAGAGAAAGAAGTGAGTAAAATAGTTAGGAAAGAGTAACAGAAGAATTGATAGAAGAAAGAAAGAAAGAAAGAAAGAAAGAAAGAGAGAAAACGAAAGAAAGAAGGAACGAGAGAGAGAGAAAGACAGAAAGAAATAGAGTGAGAAAAAGAAAGAAAGACTGAAAGAAATAAAGACAGAAAGAAAGAAAGAAAGAAAGAGAGAGAACGAAAGAAAGATGAAGAGAAAAAAGAAAGAAAGATAGAAGGAAAGAAAGAAGGAACAAGAGAGAGAGAGAAAGAGAGAAAGAAATGGAGAAAGAAAAAGAAAGAAAGAAATAAAGAAAGACAGAAAGACAGAAAGAAATAGAATAAAAAAGAAAGAAAAAAGAA